CGTCACCTCCCTCCCTGGGGGTGGTCTCAGTCCAGAAAGCTGCTCTCCCCGTCGGGCATCTGGTCTCTCTCCCGGGCATCTGCTGCCTTCTGGGAGACCTGCCCCCCCGGGGCAATGCCACCCTGCTGAGGATGCACTGTCTCCCACCCAGGGTCTACTGCCTCCTAAAGGATCGGCCCCACTGGGGTCTGGACCCCCCCGGGGTTCTGCTGCCCCCAAATCTCCCGCCCAGGGAAGACGTTGTCAGCCTATGCCAATCCCCCTCCCAGGGGTCTGCTGACCCCCCTGAGCATTCCCTGCCCCCCCCGGGATCCACTGCCTCTAAACGTGTTGCCACCCAACTGCCCCCCAGGAGCTGCTCCCCATCCTGGGGCCACATGGAGGGTCCCTGAGCCCCCCAGTACCTCGGTGCAGGTGTTTTCCTGCCAGCCCTTGAGCCCATGAACCCATGTCAGCCATTCCCATGGGCAAAACGGGCTGTGGTGCCCAGGTCCTGGCCCAGTCCCTCTTCCCTCTTCTTCCAGGGCTCAGCCGGAGCTGGCAGGCACCAGGCAGGGATGGGGCTGGGGAGACACCAAATTGCTTTTGATATGAGGATCTGCCTGGTAACGTGGGATCTGCAGATGCCTCCTGTGCAGGGTACACAGACAATTTTTTAGCTTGGGTAAGTTTCCAGGTCCCCGCTGGCCCAAGGTCCCACCCAAGGACAGGGCTGAGGGGAGCAGGGAGGTGTGGAGGGAAGGAGGAAGCACAGCAAAACAAATCACATCTGTCCCCGAAGAAAGGAATTGATCCTTTTAAGTCTTTTTTCTCCAAAGGAAACAAGCTGATGTGATTCATTCCCTGCATGTTCGCCTGCACATCCCCAGCACCTTTGAACCCAGTGCCCAGTTTCACCCCGTTAGCTCTCACCAGCATCCCCGCGGGAGCCAGGGGAAGATGCCAGATCCGCAGTCTTGCCCTTGGAAAAGCTTCAATCAAAGCTTCGGATTTTCTTCTGTGCCGGATCAACCTTGGGGCAGAGCTGTAGGAAACCAGGTTTCCTTATTGCAGCGTTACTGTAAATAAACCCCCTTCCATTTCTGCCGCTGGCTGGTCCCCGCTGCCAGCCTCGTGAGGACATGGAGGGGCAGGATGGGGCCCTGCAGGGATGGGTGCGGGAGCAGGGCCACCCAGCTCACCCACCCCCAGTGCCGCTTGGTCCCACAGCTCCCACCAGCACTGAGGTCAAACCAGTAGGAAAATAAAGCTTTATTGGGGAAAGCAGCTTCGTACAAAGAGCAACAGCAGGATGGCACCCCAAAAAGTTGCTCTGCCACATCTGAGAGTGGCAAGAGGGGACCGGGAGGGGCTGGGGGAGCAGGACCTGCCTA